TAATTAATTAGTATATTAACATACTTAATAGACACTATATATGTGTACCTAGCTAGGAGATGAGAACAGAAAAATCATAGTCATTTTTGGTGAGAGAGAGAAAAGTGGAGGATCTAGCTAGCTATTGTGAAATGCATGTGATCAAGTTTTAATGCAAAAAAAGCATGCAGCTGTAAAAATTTAATAACATACCAATTATGTTAACATAGTTTTTGAAAATAAAATCTTTCCTTTCTTTTGATAGAACAAAATTGATGGCTGCTAAATCATTTTCTCATAAAAGAGCTTTGCCTTGAATTGTTATGAATGTGTAGCAGTATATACATAATATCAATGCAGTTCCTTGGGTGGGATATGTATTTTGGTAAAGCATGCAGACTGACATAGAGGCCCCTATGAGTTTGCTTAAATGCAACATCATCATTTTCCAATTTATGAAGTGTCACCAACAAAAATGAACATATACACCATATGTCTTCTTAAGTTTTCACCAACAAAAATGAACATATACATCATACATCAAAGATTGATTTCAACAAATTTTTCCATGGTTAAATACAATATATTCACGAATGGCTAGTATCAATTTGTCTATAGGCCAAAAAGGTAGCTAAAAACTTTATTACTTGATACTATACTAGATACATATGTTTCAAAAAGTATAGTAAATGAAGAAGTAGACTATATGTAAAATAGTGAATCTGACAATATTGAAATTGAGAGTTTGTGCAAGATTATATTTGAGGAATAATATGTTCGGAGCATTCTATAGAGTGAGAGTTTTTCTTAGCTGGTGAAGTATTTAGTTGCACATTATATGCTTTGAATAGGACATGTAGTTACTTGTTTCAAGAAATCAGACAAATATGAATGCATTTTCAGACTTGAAAATAAATAACTTTGCTGTAAGAACTTCACACTACTTTTACTACCATTCTACATTTGGAACTTTTCAACATCACATTTCACTCTCTTTGTCTCTATCAAGGTTTAACTTTTCATATATCATTAGTATTTGGATGATACCTGTTTTTATCATAGCTTCATATAGTTTCTCCTATATTGCTAATAATTCATTTTGCAACCATCAAAATGATAACATCAATTGGTCACTGTATATGCATATTCCTCACAGTGAGTCTAAGTAGTTTTGGAGTATTATAGAATAAGAGCTAGGATAGTATGTCTATAATAATATATACTCCATAGTTACATTGAATACCAGAGCTAAAGCTACCTAGTTATAAGTATATATAATTGAATTCAGGACAAAGAAAAAGCATATTATAGTTGAGACTTGAGAGGGGTATAATGAATTGATGTTTTTTTTTGTTGAAAAACTTGTATTATTATAACTTTTCATAAACTCTTGATTTTAACAACTTTTTGCTGCCTATTCAAGCTAAAACAAGGTAAACTACAATCAGCTTTGCATTATAAATACAACATCTAGTTTAGTGTCGTTTGAGCTGCAAGCTATCAGTTCTATACATTTAACTTTATTTCTTGTGAAATTAACAAGACATCTTAACTGAACCTCTCACAGCATGACCAGAGGTTTTCTCTTACATCTGAAAAAATGGTTTCCCTTTCAAATAAATGGTATGTTTTAGTTTCATTATACTTGAGAATCTGGTGTTCATAAGTAATGGAAAAATCTAAAATACAGTTTCATGTTCATAACAACAACAACACAAACCCTAACTTCCCAACCATGGATTTTTCTCTCAAAGCTAAAATTTAACTATGAACTCACCTCTAGGAAGAAGATGATGATGAAATATTGGAGACGACTTGATGAAGCAAGCTCTTGATCCTTAAGTATTCCAAGCTTTTTTTCTTTCGAAGAAGACGATTGAGAACGGAGAAGACGATTCCAAGCTTAGGGATTTGGAAACGATTGAAGACGATTCCAAGCTTAGGGATTTGGAAACGATTGAAGACGATTGAGAACTGAGAATGCAAGATTTTGAAACGATTTTGTGAGTTTTCTGAGAATGCAAGAGTATTCTGAGAATGCAAGATTTTGTGAGAATGAACGATTTCTTGTTTTAAAAAATTTTAATTGTAAAGAGGGTATGACAGCGCTTTTGAAAAGCGCTTTCGTAACTAAGGCTATACCAGCGCTTTTGAGGATAAAAGCGCTCTTGTACCCCACCCCCTATATCAGCGCTTTTGAAAGCGCTTTCATAAGCCCCCTATAAGAGCGCTTTCAGAAAGCGCTTTCATACCCCCCCCCACTATAAGAGCGCTTTTCAAAAGCGCCTTCGTACCCCAGCCTCTAAGAGCGCTTTCTGAAAGCGCTTTTGTAACCCCCCCCTTTAAGAGCGCTTTTTTAGCGTGTTTTTTTATTTTGTTTTTAGCGCAACCTATACCAGCGCTTTTACAAAAAGCGCTTTAGTAGGGGTGCTGCTAAAAGACAAATTTGGTGTAGTGAATTAGCAGCAGGTGTTACCGTATCTTGAGTGAGATTGATATAGAGCAAATCTTAAGGTGTAGCACAAGGAGCACGATCAAGTCTTGCTTCATGAGACAACAACATCATTTCAGCCACAACAATAGCACAAGGCTCATCTCGATAATGAATGATCGAAGCTAGGGCTTGATACTCTGGTGGTAAACCATCGACGGTCGTCTCTAACTGATCACGGTGAGATATCGGATCTCTAATCGATTCCAAGATATCAATAATATGTTGAATACGACATAGATATTATGAAATCGTACGCTCACCTTTCTCCATGTTACGAAGCTCGTAACGAAGTTGATGCGACTTTGCATAGATCTGAGTGCACTGAAACTGATCGATGACGGTCTAAACTTCATGGGCGTGCACACATTTGACAATGCACGGAAGGACGACGTCAGAGAAAGTCATTAGAAGCCATGTAAAGAGAATAGAATCCCCTTGATGCCAAAGCTGATACGCTAGGTATTCCGTGTCAGAATCACGATTCGTCGTCGTGAGATTGCGCGGAGGAATCACCATATTCACCATAAGCCGATGAAGCTTGTGGATACGAATGATTCCTTCAACTTGTTGCTTCCTTGAAAGGAAGTTATTACTATCCAGGTTGATGCTAATTTGTTGTGCGAACATTTTGATGAGCTTCTGATCCAGCTCTACCATGGCTTCTCCTACATCGTCGTCAACACCGTTGCTAGATGAAAACTCATTTGCACCATTATCTACAACTTCTGGTCTGATACCATATTAGAGAATGATAAACTGAAAACATAGAGAGAGTAAGAGTTTATTATTGATTGAAATGTAAACTCTTGAAGAGTTTGTTACAAAGAGATAGTTATATAAAAGTTGCACTGATAACTAATCTTTGACAAACGAAATACAACTAACAACTTATACAAACTAACAATTATATATCCACTCTATTAATGTCAAATTAAATTTAATATTATTAATAAAATGACAATATACTCTAATAAAATGGTAAGTTTAAAATTTATTTATTAATTAATTCATTTACATAAATGTAATGTCCAAAAAAGAGTAATATTGTATAATAAAAATAATTTTAAAAAAAGGAGATCAAATATTGGTGTGACGGAAAAAATCTTCTAAAAGAATAATAGAAAATAGTAATAAATAAAAATTATAATTAAATCAGTTTATTAATTAAAACTTTACATTAATACAATGATTGGGTAAGTTAACGAACATATAAAATTTAGTGTGGTGAGAAAAACATATTTTAAAAAAAAATATGAAAATAAATGTTCATAAAAAATATAACTAAATTTATTTATTAATTAAAATTTATCAATATAATAAATAGATGAATCTCATATATAAAGATAAAAGTCTAGATTTTACGATTTCTTATAAATAAAAGTCGAGAGAATTTTTCGTCAAAAAATTAATAATATAATTACAAACATAATCTAAAAGACTACAAATAAAAAATTAAATATCAAGTATTAACTAAATGGTTCACCAGTGAGGCAATAAAAAAGAACCATTAGATTTAATAAGCGGTTTAGATTGAGGAAAAGTAAAACTGAAATTATGTGTGCAGTTCCACACACAATAAATATAAAAATGAAAACAAAAATTAATGTTTCCGAATATCAAATTAAAACTAATAATAGAATTAAAATTCAAACCACAGACTCAAATCAAAATCAAAATGTATTTACAATCTCAAACATTTTTTTAGAAGATTTGATTGGGGAAGAAGATGCATCTTTGATTTCAACGTAACTTTAGCAGCAGCAGCCTCTATAAGAAGGGTAAAAATATAATTTTTTCTTATTTATTGTCTTTTTTCATAACTAAAATTTTTTTTAATTGATCATAACTTTCTAGCAAACAAAAGATCTCGCGTCATTGTAAGTTTTTTTTTTAGTTTACGGAGCAAACAAAAGATCTGTTATTGTAAGTTTTTTTAGTTTATGGCTTTTATGTTTAATCATTCATGGAAATTACGCACATAGTGGAGAAAAAATAATATTTCAGAGAGCAAAAACAGGAATCTAGTGTAGCATCCATTAATGAGACTATGTAAACTTATTTTAATCTAATGGTCTAATTAAATGGTACATGGTGAGGAACTTAATTGATCCCTCACCCTAGAAGCCACCCCTATTATAAAATATATAATTTTATTTCTAAGAAAAAATGAGAATTTCCTGCATATATATACTTGATTGAATGAAGTACCAACTCCAGCTTCTGATGCCCTATTGAATGAGTCCTTGGTGTCACTTAAATATCATAACATTTGAATGGACAGTAGCTAACAATTCGTATATTAGCAGAAGACCCTCTGGGTCATTTCAACTAAATCATTTACAGCACATTTGTTGACTTCAGACACTAGAAGATTAGTTCTTTTTCTTCCTATAACCTAACAATTAATGTGTTTTTTCAAATGTAATGCTGGCTAATACGTGCAGTATAAGTAGTTAAAAAATAAATATGTATCCCATGACTACTTTCAAATAAACAAAACTTGGGAAATTAACTATCTTAGCACCAATTACACATACTGCCATGGCCTCTTCCCGCCTACAGGAATGGCATTGGATCCTGATGTTGAACCCCGACTGCCATAGCCTCCTCCTCGTCCTCTTGAGCGAAAACCTCCTCTTGATGCTACAAAAGGATAAGAACAACTTACAAATAATTCCAAAAGACAAAAATACTCGCATTATATATATAAAAGTAATAAAATTACCATGTTGACCAAAACCGGCTGACCGGGTCAATTCAGACAATGCAGGACTAACAACCTGACCAGCATCTTGTAAGATCTTTATCAAATCCCTGGCATACTTGGCATTGGCACGAGTAAAAAAACTGTATGCAGTTCCTTTAGCTCCTGCACGACCAGTTCGACCAATTCTGTGGACATAATCTTCGAGGCTTGATGGAAAGTCATAATTGACCACGCATTTTATGTCCTTCACATCTGCAAGCAAGGAGTAATACATCATAAGGAATTGTGTGCAAGTATTTAGAAGAAAAACTGCAAATATCCTTATCCCTTCCACTTAAGATACTAGAGATCAAACTCAAGTCAACACATTTCATCTCATCAATGTGCCCACCTGAACCTTTCAGGGATAAGGAGCAGCTTCATCGTCACAGTCATCTAACACATCCAATTATCGACAAAGCATATATGAGTCAACCGGGCTGCAAAGACAACCAGCTCCATAACTGTGGATGGGGATCAATCAATTTGACTATTTTTAAGAAAACAGCCAATAGTGGTATGACTAGTATGACATGACTTCAGGCAACACTGGCAAATTATTGATAAACTCACCTTGTTTTGTCAATCAAGGAAATCGCCACACATTAACCTGCCCCGTGAAATACAGGATCATACATGGGATACTACATCATAACTTATAGATCAATATCCCAGCCATATCAAAGGAACTCTGCCCTAAGTCCTACACATCCATATAACTTGACATCTTTAAAAGGATAGTTCCCAAATTAACTTCATCAAGCGGTCTATCAAGCGGTCTACAGTATACTTACAGCAGCGAAACATCATTAATCCTCTGGTCAAGTTACAGGCACTTCCAACAAACTAAAAATATGACCCCACCCACACACACCCAAACCACAAATAGTTGTCAAGGGGAACTGGAAAGCAGCCGGCCAACTCGTCTTTGGTTAAGTTTTAGACCTATAACAAAAACCCTAAGATTCTAAACACACAGTAATCCTACCAAGACCCCGTGCAGCAACATCAGTGGCAGTCATTATTGGACTTCTGCCACTCTTAAATTCAGACAAAACCCAGTCCCTTTCAGACTGGTTTTTATCACCATGGATAGATAATGCTGGCCATCCATCCATTCTCAACTGCTTTGTAACTTGGTCACATCCCTTTTTTGTTTCCGTAAATATTAGAATTCGGCTCCCGTCCATCAGTTCTTTTAGCAGCTTGATCAATCTGCATTAGCAACATCAAAGTTTTAATTTGGCAAGCAGAAACATTAGTCACTATTTATTACTGTGACTGAGGAAACCAACCTGTTATATTTCTCCATGTCAGTGACAACTTCAACAACTTGATTTATAGATTGGTTTGCTTTTAGATAGGGTGATCCAATAACTACCTAAAAGGCCATGATATCCCACAGGAAAACACACTAATCAATAATCACCTATATAAGGTTTAATCAAGCCAATTCGTAGCACAATAATTTTAAAAAAAACTAATAATTCACAAATATTTATACATAAGTGATAGTATACATCTGAAACGGGAATGCTATTCAAGTAACCTTATATGGATTGTGCAGAAACTGTCTTGCCAGAGCTTCAACCTCCTTTGGCCACGTTGCACTCCAGTATAATGTCTGTCTATCTGGTCGAATCTGTCATTTCAAATCTCCAAATTTCAGTACAAGTGACTAAGAACCTCTAAAGCTACTGAACCTCTAAAGCTAACGGAATCAATATGATACACCGGTATCAGCACTTCAAGTTTACTTTAAAGCAAATTTGATGTAAATGAAAAACGATAGTAACAAATACAAAATTCAAAAGTAAATACACAACTTTAATTGCATGACCTAGCATATATTTACAATTTTCAATTGGAGGGATAACATATACTCTTATGAGAGTAGAACAAAGTTCCATATACCATCTTAGGGAGCCAATTTGATGTTAACCTCTAGTGAGAAAGTGAACTAAAATGAGGATAGCATATGTTACGCTTTTAGAAATTTCCTAATAGGATAGTTTCTACTGTGATTACCTCAACTAAAGCAATAGAATATAAATTTTAAAAAATTAAAAATAAAATAAAAAAAGAAAGGAATTCCTTAAAAAAGGGGAAGGAGCAGAGTGCCTCCACTTCCAAATTGAAATTGTTAAAAGATAGGGCAAATAGAACGCCGAGAAAATACTGTAGACAGGAAAATCCTAAAATGACTTTTGTTCTAATGTTGCTTTTACTTCGTGATATTTTTTCATTGTTTTCCCTTTTTCCTGAATATTTTATTATTTTCTAGTTTCTTGTCACTATGAACCATAATGCAGAGGAAACACTGCTCGTGACAAATGAATCAGATTCCAGGTTTTTCTCAAATGCTTACTATTACAGGCTAGTCACAAACAGTAGATACCTGGTTTACAATCTTCCGAATCTGAGGTTCAAAACCCATATCCAACATCCTATCAGCTTCATCCAAGACAAGGTATGTCACTCTCTGGAGGTTTGTGTGCCGAGCTTCTAACATATCTATTAGACGACCAGGTGTAGCAATAACAATTTCAACACCTGATAGGCACCAAACAAATCATCATGTTCATGTTAGTCCACAATATTGATCAATATAAAAATAGGGCATAGGCCCTTCACTTATGTAAAGGCAAAACGAGTACCCATTCTAAGATCACGAATTTGAGGGCCCTTTGGGGCACCCCCGTATATGCATGTACATCTAAGATTTGACCGTGACCCAAACTTCATAGCTTCTTGTTGAATTTGAACAGCTAACTCTCTAGTTGGTGCTAAAACGAGGACAACAGGACCCTCCCCTTGTACTGAAGAAAGGGTAAACACATTCATTAAACCACACAGATAAAAATGAAAACCATATTGTTGACAAATTAAAGGGTTTCCTATACATACCTAGTCGAGGTTGTGCACTGACATGAACTATAGCCGGAAGTAAATATGACAGAGTTTTACCCGAGCCAGTCTCCGCAATGCCAATTAAATCTCTACCTGTAAGAGCCATGGGCCAACCCTGAGCCTGAATTGGAGTGGGTTCAACAAAACCCAACTTGGCAATAACCTCAAGGCAACGATCTAACATCTCAAAAGAATACATAATCAGACAAAGGACACAGGAAAAGTAATCAATGAATAATTAACAAACACGTGGAGCACAATGAACACAACTAAAATACCAGGAAAATTAGCCTCATGAAAAGACCGAATTGGTTTTGGCACATCATGCCCTTCAACAGTAATATCCCTACTCGCACGATAATGCATAACTTGCTGATCAGACATAGCTGTTATCACAGGGCTTTCAACATAGAAATTCTTCTGAAAAGGAACCAAATTCCTGAAATCTTGCTTCGGAAGAGTAATATTGTTCAAGTCATCCTTAGAAGATCCATGTCTACCTCCAAAACCACCGCCTCTCCCTCCTCTACCGGAGCCTCTAAAACCTTGACTTCCACCTCTACCACCACCACCAAAACCACCACGACCTCTCCCACCTCCACCACTACTACCATAACGACCAGAGTCATATTTTCTATCAGAGGCGTGACCGTTGCCCAACCTAGGACCAAAACCACCGCCCCGACCGACACTAAATCCACCAGGAGGAGGTACAAAGTGAGGAATCGGGGTTACGGATGCGGATCCGTAACCGGTGGGAGCATGGGATGCATAAGAAGCACCGTAAGGAGCAGGACCGCCACGGCCGAAATTAGGCGGCGGCATAGGTCCAACGAGATCACTACAACAATAAAAACATGTCTAATTACATTCTAATAATTACAAACGGAAGAAACAACATAAACATTGTGAAAACAGAAGCACCTTCGGCGGCCGCGGAAGGAAGTGGAATCGGAGTAACGATTGTCGTAGGGGTTCATTATATGAGAAGCTAGGGTTTATGCAAAAGTTGAATATAGGAGGGAGATGAATTTTGAGGAATTGAATGGGAAGAGAAATATAAAATGATATGAATCTCGATGGATGGGATTGGATTGGATTGGATGGAATTGGAATGGGTTTCCAAGAGTATGAGAGGAGAATTGGGTCTTTACGATAGCCTCAAGCGAATCTAAGTACCGCCTCAGTTAAATGCACATCTCACGCGCGCCCATATAACATGTGTATTTGATTAGGATTTCGTAGATAATCAACAGCATAAGAAAAAATATAAACTCTCCTTTTTTTCACCAAATTTAACAAAATAAGACTTCCTAAGAAAAAAATTGAATATAGACACCCAATTTGCCAACTTACACTTTAAATGTGGAAACCAATTTACCAATTTACTTATGGAAAATCAAAGAAAGCAAAACTATTTCTTTTCTTAATTGTCACTATCAATATCAATGTATTCCTTAATTTTATTTATTTTTTTCTTAATTCTCTCTTTCTTTTTTTAATTATTAAAATTACATGAGTATTTAACTCCCTTATTTGTTTTTAACCCTTCTAATATTTACATTATGAAAAAAAATTATTAGTAATCAATGTCCTAAATATATCACTTCAACATATTTTTCTACTCCTATTAATCAAGGGTTAAAATGGTTTTTTATTCATTTTTCTTTCTTTTTCACATTTGTTTCACTTGATATGGCTTCTTTGAACTCAAAAGAAAGTCAACTAAGTCAAATTCGTATGAATCAGGTTATAATTTATAAGGCTAAGCCGAAACGTCATCTCTTTTACATTTATCTCATTCAATTAATTCTAAAAAAGAATGGTATCCTCTCTGGTGAATATAATTTTGCCAAAGTTCCATAATTTTTTATGGCACAATTGTGAAATTGATAAAGTATTACCGAGATGACAATGACATATATTATTATTATGATGAATTATATAGAATTTATGAAGATAAGTTCATGACTTATAAGAAGCTTATAAAGATTAAGTTTTGTGGAAAGTTCCTCATGCATATGTTGTCAACAGTTCAGAAAGTCGATCATCTATTGTGAAAGCATATTTTGATATGTGTGTGGATAATATTTTGGTTGCTTCCGAATCTAGAGAAGATTTTTTTTATTGCAAGAATTGATGTCGATGATGCTAAAGCCAAAGCTAGAGGAGAGCGTCAAATTGCACGTGAAGAAAAAACGGTTACAAAAGCAAGAGAAAGAGAAGTCAAGCAAGAATAAGATGTCAAAGCTAGGGTTAGCTCAATTCACTGCAATCAAAGAAGCCATTTCTTCTCAAAAGGCTTCGAATTTCAATTTTTACTTTGTCGATTTTTAAATCCATGTTGATTCTTGTCTCTCTAACCTACCTTAGTGTTTAGCATCCATTTCATCTTTTTTCATAACATTCCATGACATTTTTATTTTAGTTTTTTTTTATATTGGTTTTTCTACCGTTTTGTGGATATTTTTTTGTTAAGCACTTTAGTGGATACCTTGTGGCATGTTTTTAGTTAATTTACTTTATTTTGATGGTTACATGTTATTTATATCTTATTGATATATTATCTTTATCCTTGTTTTTATACTAAAATTACGTTGTATGTGTGGTTTTGCCTGTATGCGTATTTCTAATTTGATAGTTTGCTAATGTGTGGCATTTTGTGTGTTCACATGTTGTTGTGGTTTAGTTTGTGTGTTCACATGTTGTTGTGGTTTAGTTTGTGTGTATTTGTATTTTTATTTTTCTCTTTTTTGTAGTCAAGGGAGGGGGGATTTTGTGAGATATTATGATCGTAGTTATGCGTATTTAGTGTTTAATGTAGGGGAACCATAAGAGCTCCAAAGATGTGTATCAATGGTCTTAAAAAGGCTATTTATCATTTGTATTTTTATGAATAATCAAAAATCAAATTGCTCAAAACTAATAAACTGCTCAAATAAAATAATTCTCAAATTTTTTGAACTTTAAAAAAGAGGGAGGTTGAAGTTTCTTAGTTGGTATCATCTTTATTTTGATATTATGTTCAATTTTTGTTATTTGTAATTTAATTTGTTATTATTTCAATTTGTGTATAATTCGTGTGATTCATTTATTTGATTTGAACTCACGTAAATGTGTTTTTTAAGCTTGAGTAAGTTGGTCAAAGTCATCATTTTGTGTGTGTCTTGAATCATAAGTTAGAAAACTTAAAATAAGGTTTTCTAAGCTTCGAATCAAGCATATGGTTGATTCAGATAAAACATCAATTGGAATTTTGGATTTTGTCCATGTCTAATTAAATCTTGCCTAGGTTAGCTTTGATATACATAGTTGGTCCCAAGCTTGAAAAAAGGAGAGGGTTGTGTTAGGCATTCGACAATCAACATAAGACTTAGTTAAATCTCTATGACATGGATCAATAACGAAGTAATATGAATACTAGGTTGTTACCCATAAGCAATAAATTATATGGCTCGAGTACAATATCAAAAGAGCAAGGGTCATTATGTCGCCACCCAGATGTAGTGAAAAATAAGCAAGGGTTCCCACATTTTTATGAACGGGAATGGATAAAGAAGTTAGTTCGTAACAGGAGATTCATTTTGGATCATAGAATATAGGCACACTTACTGGAAAATCTATGGAAATAGTGGATGTTATGGTTAGGAGGAAGATCAATTTTATGTGCCTATAAGAAACTAAGTGGACAGGTGAAAAAGCGGAAAAAAATTAGACAGCTTAGGATTTAAGTTCTGGTACACCAGAAAAGTTAGATCAATAAATAGGGTGGTGTGATATGGTGGAAGAACTGACTTGGATTGTTTTGCGTTTGATCGCAATTGTGCGGATAGCAAGAGTCGCCACCGACTTTTCTTTTATCCAAAAGGAAAGGTAAAAAAGCACAGGAAAAACCTTTCGAGATTATTTCTTGGGTTCGGGGGGTAGGTTATGAAAAGGGAAGGTATTAGTACCCTTTTCATCCGTAGTTATCTACGGGGTCTTAGTTACTTGCTAGATCAATTTCTTTTGTTTGACAGTATGCTTGTGGTCTGGGCTTTGAAAGTATTTTGAAAATGTCTTTGTAATGGTTCTCGTTTCTATAAGAACGCGTACAAAGTGTTGTTTTGAAAATGGTTCAAAGAGGTGTTTGTGGAATGTGTTTTTAGAAAGAGATTTTGAAAAGTGTCTTTGTAATGATTCTCGTCTCTATAAGAACACGTACAAAAAACTTCTGTCTTTTGAAAATGTTTCAAAATGAAAGTGTGGGTGTATAAAATGTTTTTGTTGTGAGCAAGCAAGCAACTAGGAGCAACCTATTTACTCAAAAGGTCTTAAATGTGCTTTTCTTCCTCCTTTAGATGTTGTTATATTACCATTGATTTGGTAAGAATCCCCATCGTTGGATGTGAAAGGACAGGCGCGGGTCAATCGTACAGTCATAAAAAGCAACTTGTGAGACGCTTTAGCAATTTTTGTAAGGGACTAGATCGTTTTGTCGAAGGCAACATCGAGGGACATCGAGGGACTACGATCTTTTTTTATCGAAGGGGCTTTGCTAAAGTGTCCCATATTTGAGGGACATGACTGTATTTCCGAGGCAACGAGCAAGGTTACCCTAGAGGTGCACATGTGAAAAAGTGTGTTTGATTCAAGTTATTTTGTCTTTGAAATTAGGTTATCTAGCGATTGATTTTATATCTTATCATGCATGCCTAATTACTATACAGTATAAGGAAAACAGTAAATTGCGGAAATTAAATTTTTACGCTATTACAGAGCTTTCAGGAATGGGGGTACAAATTTACAAATGGGGATGAATTAATGCAATTAAATGTCCAAATAGGCAAACAGTACAACCAAATCGAATCGAGTAATTAATCAAAATTACAACAAGTTTATGAAGTAAAAATTAATTAACAAAATAAAGATAAGGAAATAAAATTCTTGTTTTTTTTTGTTGGAAAAGTTTGAAAAGAAAAATAGAAAAATAGAAAAAATCTATTCTATTAATTAGCTAAAGAAATTGAATCAAATGCATGTATTTTGTCTTTTAGGGTTTTTTTGTTATTAAGAAATTAAATAAACAAATTAAGACTTAAATACAAAAATTAATTAGTAAAAATATTTACAAAGTTTTTTTCCTAAATTAAATTAGAACTAAGAACTAAACTAATTGATAAAATTAATTAACAAAGTTCGTGAGTAATTAAATTAGAAGAAACAAGTAAAATAAAAAATAAGTATTAAAACAAAACACAAATGGAATGGTGGTGTTAAATTGAAATGGGAGGATGCTGTCTTTTTTGAAGCATGGGCTTTAGAGGCTTAAGCCCATGGGGTTTTTGTTTTAACAAAAAAAAAAAAACAATCAGAAAAATGAAGAGAAAAAAACGTCCCAAGGGGTCTTGAACCCAGGACCTCACGCACATCATACACACACCATAACCGCTACACAAAATGCTCATTCATTACCTTAACCACCTTTGCAAACATATATTGTAAAACTTAAAAAATAGACTGGGCCAAAATAAACCAGGCTCAAACCCGATTTTAGGAATGAATTGGAAGGGTTTGCCCTAAACAGAATGTCGTTTGTGGTTGTTTCAATTGGGAAAGGAAAAATAAACCCTAAATAGAAAATATTCTCTCTTCCTAATCTATTGTTATCTTCTTCCTCCTCTCTCGATACCTCTCTGTTCAACATCATCTTATCCTCACCTTTCTCCAACCCTCTGTAATCGGAACCTATCTCTCTCGTCTCTCTCATCCTCGTTGATTTGACCTAGCGATGCTGCCCTCTTATGGATACAAGACCAAACCTCTCTATAATCCTAAACTCTATATTATAATGCTCATGAAGGGGAATCAGTGATGGGTTGGAGAAGATTGAAGGTTTGTGTTACTGTATTTGTAGTTTTTCTTGTCTAATGATTTTTTGTTTATATGTCATAGTTGATGTAAAAGATATAAAAATAGAGCGTTGAGAATAGGGGAAAAA